GATTGTAACTCTTTAAGTGAACAGAAAGCCTCCTTTAGCAGGCCAAGGCATAACCATTGCACCACCACGACTCCTATACATGCATATAAGTGCAAATCTTCATATTTCTAACAACTCTGTGTTTTCCCTTTATAGCAATATAGATAAGGAAAAGTTTTAAAAAGGTCTCTGGACGATTGAAAAGGACAGGGGAACTTCCATAGTGTTTTCCTGTTGGTATTGTGGGTGACAAGCTGGGTTGCTAATTAATAGGTCAGCAGTCAACCTACCAGGCCTACCGCAGGAGAGAAAAGAGACTCTGCTTCCGTGACGGTGACAGACTCAGAAACCCAAAAGAAGGGCAGTCCTACTCTGTACTGCAGGGTCACTGTGAGTCAGAATCGGCGCGGTATCCAAAAGCAATTTGTAATGTGAGCTAAACATGGAAGCAATACTGCAGGAAAAGAAAAATGGTTAAGTAATAACATTTTCATTGAGGATTGGAAAAGTAAAATTTATGTTAAAAAATACAAAAACAAATAACTAACAAAAATCTGAAGTTGAGAAAAACCATGGAAACCAAGCTTCCTAGAAGTCAAAAAGAAAAACTAGATGGGTTTATGACCCAAGCTTTCTGTGTCATGAAAGGAAGCCTCCACAAAGGTCTAAATACAGGCATGAACACATGTAAAATATTTATATATGATGGGGAAATAGATAGATCTAGGTGCATATATTTATAGGTTTAGTATTAAGGTAGCAGATGGACATTGGGCCTCTACTCAGGTATTCCCTCAATGCAAGAACACTTTGTTCTATTAAACTGGCATTCCATGATGCTCACCTTTCGGACACAATTGCTGAAGACAAAGCGGGTGCATAAGCAAATGTAGTGAAGAAAGCTGATGGTGCCCGGCTATCAAAAGATACAACGTCTGGGGTCTTAAAGGCTTGAAGGTAAACAAGCATGCACCTAGCTCAGAAGCAAGAAAGCACACTTGGAAGAAGCACACCAGCCTATGTGATCACGAGGTGTCGAAGGGAGTAGGTATCAGGCATCAATGAACAAAAAATCATATTATTGTGAATGAGGGGGAATGTGGAGTGGAGACCCAAAGCCCATCTGTAGGCACCTGGAATATCCCCTTACGGAAGGGACTCAGGGAGGATACGAGCCAGTCAGGGTGCAGTGTAGCAACAATGAAACATACAACTTTCCTCTAGATCATAAATGCTTGCCCCACCTTCCCCTATCATGATCCCAATTCTAGCTTACAAATCTGGCTACACCAGAGGATATATACTGGTACAGATAGGAACTGGAAACAGGGAATCCAAGATGGATGATCCCCTCAAGACCAGTGGTGAGAGTGGCGATACCAGGAGGGTAGAGGGAAGGTGGGGTAGAAAGGGGGAACCGATTACAGGGATCTACATATAACCTCCTCCCTGGGGGATGGACAACAGAAAAGTGGGTGAAGGGAGCCGTCGAACAGTGTAAGATATGACAAAATAATAACAATTTATACATTATCAAGGGCTCATGAGGGAGGGGGAACCAGGGAGGGAAGGGGGGGGGGAATGAGGAGCTGATGCCAGGGGCTTAAGTGGAGAGCAAATGTTTTGAGACTGATGAGGGCAATGAATGTACAAATGTGCTTTACACAATGGATGTATGTATGGATTGTGATAAGAGATGTATGAGCCCTCAATAAAATTATTTTTTTAAAAAAGAAAGAAACATACAACTTTCCTCTAGTTCTTTAAAACCCCCCCCCCCCCCCATCATGATCTCAATTCTATCTTACAAATCTGGCTAGACCAGAGGATGTCTGCTGTTACAGATAAGAGCTGAAAACACAGGGAATCCAGGACAGATAAACTCCTCAGGTTCAATAATGAGAGTAGAGATACTAGGAGGGGAAGGGAAAGATTGGGGGGAGAAAGGGGGAACCGATCACAATGATTTACATATAACCCTCTCCCTGGGGGACGGACAACAGAAAAGTGGGTGAAGGGAGACATTGGTCAGTGTAAGACATGAAAAAATAATAATTTATAAATTATCAAAGGTTCATGAGGGAGGGAAGGTAGGAGAGGGAGTGGGGGGGAATGAGGAGCTGATACCAAGGGCTCAAGTAGAAAGAAGATGTTTTGAGCATGATCATGGCAACAAATGTACAAATGTGTTTGACACAGTGGATGGAAGGATTGTGATAAGAGTTGGACGAGCCACCGATAAAATGATTTTTAAAAAAAGAAAGAAAAGGAGCCTCCAGAGGACAATATACTGCTAAGACCTTGGAATTTCACAGTGGGCTTTAATCGAAGGGTGTTGTGTAACATCATAAATTCTGTCTTGACAGTGACAATAACGAACACATGAAACATCTCTCTCAAATCCAAAACTCCAAACTCACTGCCATCGCGTTCAATTCTTATTCACAGAGACCCGAGGGCAGGGTCGAGCTGTCCTTGTGGGTTTCTGAGTCTGTAAATCCTTACTGGAATAAAAAGCCTCATCTTCCCGACCAGCTGGTGGTTTCAAACTCCTCACATTTCCGTTAGCAGCCAAATGCATAACTCACTAGTTCCCCAAGACTCCTGTCTATCAAAACTTCCGGCAAATTGTTACATCACTGTTCTAAAGCATGTAGCCCCAGGGGACCAGATTGTAACAGTAACAACTGCAGCATTGGGTGCAGGAAACACAAAGTAACAGACTCAGCACTGCTTGGCAGGCACCACAAGGAACTCTTTAGCCCACTGGATTCTTCAGGGCCTGAGGAAGACCAGGCGGAAACACAAGCCTAGAATGGTAAGTGTGTCATCAGCACTCATGTCCTTAACAACGGCGAAAACAAAAATACCCAGTTGAGACCATTAGTGAGGGCATGAGGGGCAGGCAGGGCCCTCCACACTCAATGCAACGCATGTGATTTAGGGGAGTTGCTTATGCTCTGGATGACCACTGCTAAGAAAGAAGGAAGGCAACAAAGGGAGAGTTTGTGATCAAGGAGCACACTTTGCCACCTATCAGTTACAGACCAAAGGGGCCTGAAGAAGCAAAAGCAATAGCAGTCTCCAGGTGGATATAACGAATGCATCAACAATATTCCTGGAAATGTTTCTTTTCCAAATCATTCGTGATCCACAACAGTTTTAAATTGACTAAGGACTCTGAATTGAAAAACCCACATTGCCCACATTCAAACATGTCTTAGTTTCAGAAATGTCCATGTGGAGATGAGCAAGCGTTCATATCCGTAGGAAAATCATTCGCATGCTTACAAGTGATCTCAAAGCAGAAGAAACCTTAACCATGAGCCAGGATTATCTGTAAAAGTACAGATAATGCAGCTCTCAAAGCCAATTTGATTGCCTTTTTGCCCACTTCTTCAACACTGTTCAATCACAATATTTAGCTTCACTTGAAAACTTAGCCAACAGCCTCAGATGAATCCCTAGTAGGGTTAGAACACAGCATCCTGGCTTGAGATGTCCCAGGTTGAGGGGTGGGGTGGGTGTGTTACACAGGCCAAGGACAGCCCATTTGAGTCCCTGCAGCAAAGGTGGGATGAACTACAAACAGAGCATGTTTTCTACCTGTCCCCTTACAAAGAGTGTTGGCCCATCTCTGAGAGGCCGACCCTTTCTTTTTTCAGGAAACGGCAACTCAGCAAAGAGGTGTGCTTTGCGGATCGCCTGGCTTTGACTTGATAACATGATACTCACTATGGTCAATCCCGTCTATGCTGCCCATCCCAAAGGGACAATCCTCTTTGGAGGACTTTCATGTGGTCCCTGAAAAGTTTAATTCTAAGAGCATCGATGGTGAAGAGAGGCACATCTGGTTGTTTGTTTGGGGGAATTACAAATTAAAGGTACGTACTGGAATGTACTTATGCAGACAAAGCACTACCTTTATAAGACCTTCTAGAACACAAATGCTCTGGATTGGTTTAAAAATAAAACGAGGGAGAAAAAAACGGATGTGCAAACAATCTTCACATTATGGAAGATCCTGAAAAAGCCTTGTTCGATTAAATAGTAAGAAGATAATATTTTATAAACACAAAAAGTCTTTGAGCCAAGCTGGGCAAACGTATTGAGCCACCCTGATTGCTGTCAGGGCTTTTAAACAGGCACCCATCCACTAAACCAAAGGAGACTCTGGAAAGGGCAAAACTCAAGGACAAAACCAGATGCCACATTGCTGGAGAGACATCAGACTTTAAAATGACCTCCGAGACCAGCTTGCTTACTGGGCCCACTGCCTTCACCAGGAGGAGAACTTTGGGGATCAGTTAAAGGGAGCTTTAACTGGAGTGCTTTTCCTTGCCCCTCCACTGAACCCCACACCCCACCCATGCCCAAGTGAATTTGAGAAAATTAAATTTAGCTTTCATTCATCAAGCTACATTAGTCCCTCTGAAAAGTTCTAATTTTAAAATCAAATACTCATTTGATTCTCAAGCAAGGTCAAGAGAACAAGCAGCAGAGCTGAGCTTGGCCATCGTGAGGATCTGCCCCATGCCGCTCGCTCTGCAGCTACACCAACGTGGTGGCTGCTATGGCAAGTGGCGGTTAATTTCTGAAAGAAGGTGATTACACAGCCGCCAGATGAACATCAGTTGGATGACACCACGTCAGCACAGAACACTGACAGGCGGTACTCTTGTTTGCAGCAGTTCATTTTCTGAATCCACTTCTGTGGCGTGCACATTCTTTTTAACTTTAAGCCACCAAGTCAACCACCAAAAAGAAAACTTAGCTTAAAAAGAAGCGGGGATTTGATATAATTTAAAAACAAAAAGTGTATCTATGGGCCATCTCTTAAAGAATGTCTTTCCTTTTACCTCCCCCCCCCTCAAAAATATATGAAATTGACTGATTTACACCCAAATAAATATATGAACATTTGTCAAACATGGAGCTGAAATGCCTGGAAGGTGGTTTGATACAGGCCTAGCTATAATACCAATAATTATATTTGCAGCACTTACCTGTTGGGGGGCAGGGAGGGAGGGGAGGTGCTCCTGTAAAGCAATCTTCAGTGACAGTCACCTGAAAAGGTCACGGCTTACCCTGAAAACAAGAGAACATCTGAATGTCAAGAGAAGCAGCCACCTCCTCTGCCAGGGACAGACACCGCAAAACAAAACAACACAGGAACTCAATGATCGCGCCCCACATCTGACTTTCAGAGGTCATGAAAACAGGTCCCCACACCTCTACCTTTGGGGACCAAATGCAGGTGAGTCGTGCGAGACTACATCTTCAACCATGCTGGAAAAAGTAAAGATGAAGAATTTCAAGTTATGAGTTTGAACTTTTCTCTGGTCTTGCTTTCATTAATTTTATTTTCATGTGGAATAATATGTGAGTCATAGGCCTTGTTTCTGGAAACCAGACAGCTCCTAAACGTGTCTCTGTTGGGTGAACATCTACCACCTCTCTAATTTCATTAAAGCGGGGGCTTGTTTTTCCCCTTTCAGAAGAGTTAGTTCTAGTAGACAAGATGCTTTCTGCCATGGGGGCAGACCTTTCACTATGAATAGCAGTCCCCCCACCTCTGAGTATAGGGAACAGAGTAATGGGCTGGTGAAGCTCTTCCCAGACCGTTTTTCACTGAGTACATATCTATCAGTTCTCCTATGGTAAATGCAAATGGTCCCTGTCCGTTGGACTAGACAAGTGAGATCCAGCTTCCTAAAACACAAAAGCAGCCAGGGGCATGACCTGACCTCACATCCACTCCTACCTCGGCACGCTCCCTTACGCAGAACAGTGTGTACTCCTTTAAGAAACATCAAAAGCTGCCTCCTCCTTTCCAAGTATCAGGTATCAGCATATAGCACAAGTGAAACAAAAACATTTATTTATTAATTCAGATTAAGTACTGAAAGGGTGCAATATTCATTCCTTGATGAATCGAATGTTTGCACGTGCGCGCACACACACGCACACACAGAGACATTCAATATGGTAAGAGTATATCATCATTTTTACTAAAATGTTACTATCTCTTCAGAACAAAATGTAAAGACGTGGTTTTAATTTTAGGAAGAATCCCTCTCTACATATCCTGCCTGTCTGCCCTGCGTGGGGAAAGGCAAATGTCAAGGAGCAGAGTTACATCTTCTTTCACGGGGGCTAAACATCTGAAAGTGGCGCTGCGGCGAGTACGCTCTTTGAAGAATTTATCTGAGCCCAATTTATGACATTTCCACCAGCAAGTGTATTCAGATTCTTGCCATTAAGGTTGGAAAGGAAAAAAAAAAAAAGAAGTGGGCTCTGAGTGAAATCATAATTTCTCATGTTTACTGTAAGAGGAAATTAGAGGTTTTCACCATAATGTTCACCATTTGTGTGGGGGGAAAACCCTAGCACTGGGACTTAAAAATTACTATCTTGCAACCTGCCCCAGACCTTTTTGTTTTCATACAAAACAATTCAAATTGAAAACGAAAAACGTGTGCTTTACTTCTAATGTGTGTCCCCCGGACTGATTTCTGCAGAGGCAAGAGATCCGTGGCAGGGCACATGGTGCTGAGATGGAGCAGGGCCGGCTGTGTGACGCAGGACTGAGGCGGAGCAGCCCTGCTCCCCAGGAATGAGCGCTCAGGAGACACATGGGACAGCAATGGCATTTACTCCAGAAATGTCCAGCTCCACCACTCAGCCGATCTGAACGGTAAAGCATGTGCCCTTTAGCAGACCCAGCTCAATTCAGAGCAAATAGGCCCTTTCTCCCTCCATTCTTCACTTGGTCTTCTTCAATGTATGCACTCTAAACTAATTTTCATGTTTAGCGACTGAGCAATGCCTATTTTTGCATGTTTGGCAGTCAGACCTTTACTGCTGGACTTTGCAATGCAGATGAGATTCGCTATCATAGAGGCCTGGCAAACAATTGGACCTTATTAAAGTTTAATTTTTAAGAAACTGCTGAAAATGCCTACTTTGAATGAAGTTATCTCTAGCGCTGCACTTGAACCTGCAGAACACCAGCTGGTAAGTACTGGGCCAGTTTCCCCACTCACCTGCCCAGTGTAGTATCTAAGTGAACACAGAGCAAAAATATGAACTCGGTTTGCCCTCAAAGTCTTAACTGTTATTCTTACTCTCGGGGAGGGGGGGAGTGGGGATAAGAATCACTCATCAAATCCAACTCTCACCCTTCCAACTTAAAATTAGTAATGCAAAATAAATAAATAAATGGAAAGAAAAGAAGAAAAAAATCAGCAGATGCATGTAACTTTTACTTAGTGTGAAAATCTGGCATTGGGACATGGAGTATTTCTGTCTCTCTCAAAGTTCCATGATCTTTAATGCATATGCACATTTGACCACTCACACATTTTTTTTCTGTTGTTTTTGGTTTGGAGATAAAATATACATTAGCAAAATAATCGAAAAATATGTTTTTCTAGCTTTGCAGAGAAAATATTAATAGTTCAATGCTGTTTGGCACCATGCTAACTGAAATGAAAGGTGTCAATATAACAGACAAGGAAACAAGCTGGGAGGCCTTGGGCCTGCGTCTGCACATGACCGGCTGAGAGCGACTGGAAATCAGCCTTGAGAGGAACACACTTCCACTTTCAACATCAGCTCCCCTACCTTTCTCAGTGATCATTCTTACTTAGCAAATAAAGTAACATGTTCTATTTCAACAACTTACCTACATGCTTATTGGCAGCACAAATACCACAAATAAAATGAAATGATCGTCTAAGGCTTTTAAGTTTAAAAAAAAGATAAATACCCATTTTTCCCTCTTTTTAAAAATCTGCTATCAATTTCCCCCCTTTTCTCTTTTAAAAATTCCTCAGAGGTTTGAAGTTTGAACCAAATATGGTAAAAACAAACTGCCTATTTTTCCCTGATGGCATAACTTTGTATCACAGTGCAGACTGGGTGGACACCAGATATGTCCTGTGGCTTTTCCCCCTGAAGCTCAAGCTGATGACCAGTCACAGGATGCTAATCTTAAGCTGGAACCTCCATGGTCTGAAGTTTAAGGCGTTCCTCCTCTTCCTCCCCCTCTCTCATCTACCTCTAATTTTCCCGATCCTTCCATTTAACCCATGTGTTACTACAATACTCCACTGTCATGCTTTCTGCGGCTACATTTCACTGCTAATTTGGTCTGTGTGATACACACGACAGATAGTACCAGCTGGCATGTCCTACTTGGAAATCGGCTCCAGGTGGATGCACTGCGTGGACGTACACAGTAAACACCTCTTATTTTTCATAAAGTCCTCTCCTCCCTTTCCCTTCATGGCAGCGAAAGAACATGATGTGCAACAGGGTTGCATCAATTGATATTAATTTTACACAATTATACAAGAGTGATTTTGAAGGATGGGCAACCTATTTTACCTCAACCTCAGTCCAACAAAGGGTGGCCAAGAACCTGAGCGCAGGGTCACAAACCCCACACCTTAGTCCATGATGCCAGCCAGTAGCAAAGTATTGGCTCTCTGGCAAGTCCTTTTCTGGAAGTCCAGGGACATGGCTCAAAATTCAAATACTCCCCTGTCTTCTCTTCAGATGACATATTTTTTCACTTGAGAAAGCAGAAGGTCCAAATGGGCTAATTTCCAAGAAACTGGTGTCTCTTTAAATAGTGAATCTTAACTCATGTGGTCTTTTATGTCTTGTTTTTCAATGATTTCTTAGAAAAACTAACGGATATTGAACACAAATCTGACTCGCTGAACAGAATGATAATGCAAAGGCGCCTTTCTTTTCTCTCCTCCAAATGAGAATATCCCCTCAGTAATCAATCCCTTCACGGCTTTGTTTGGTTCTGTGTTTCTGCAAACAGTGAAGGAGGTTTATAAAAACAACACAGCAGGGAAAGGGGGTGGGGTGGGGTCAGTTAAAGGAGGCCAGACAGGAATGTCAGACTCACACAAGGAAAAGAAAAAGAGGAGGGGGAGAGGGCAGGATGGAAAGAGGGGAGGAAAAACGGGGAGGCAGGAGGGCAGGTTAGGGTACAAACAGGAAGAAGGAAATGGGGAGCAAGAGAGGGAGGAAAAGAATAAAAAATAAAAGAAGAAAAAGAAGGAAATAGGGATGGAAAGAAATAAACGCAAACTGTGGTACAGCCCGGACTCCACAGCGAGAGGTGACTTTGGACACCACCTAGCTTCTCTTTCCAGTTGGCAGCTGTCGTGTTGCTTGGGACTTCTGACTACCCAGGAGAGCCAGGTAATACTTCAGGTCATCATCCCCACCCCTACCAAATTCCCTCCCTATCCCTGAGAGTGAGTGAGCTTGCTTCCTCCTCACCAAGGTGCAGTGCCCCACTTTGGGGTCCATTCTTGTGGGCACAGATCTAAAATACTATACAGCAGGCGAGCCCTATGGGCCTGGTGACACCCGCATGTAAGCACACCTGAGAGTACTTGAGGCTCGCAGCTGCCTGGACCCCCATGTCAGCCCCATCTCATGTAGAAACAAGGGCCCCATTACTCCCTTACTTTGCTAGGTAAAACCCTGGTCATGGTCATGTGAAAATATTTTATAGGTATCCTTTAACAGCCTTTAAATGTTGAAACCGAAAAACAATATTTGCTGTTTTCGCTTTGAAGCTCTAACAAAGCCTTTGTTTTAGATTTACCTTTAGTGTGCAATAAGAGTTAATAATCAAATCCATCCCAACCCCCAAAAATGTTAAACAAAAAGATAAAAGAAATGCAAATAGCTATTGTCATGGAAAGTTAAAGTACCTGTCTGTATTTTTAAGTGAAAACTATTATCTCTATCAATCAAAATTTAAGACTACAATAGCGCTAATCACAGAAGGTACTCTGATGGAGTTACTTTTCCTCATACCAAAAAAAAAAGTATTTTTCCCCTTTAAAACTGAGTATAAAAGTCATATACTTACAATGAGACTGAGTATTTGTAATTTTATTATTAAAAATCTTCCACAGGCACACTGCTAATAAATGCTTCTAAATCTCTAGACTGATTTGTACCCAAGAAGACCCAAGTCCCTACATATTTTAATAAGGTTGATGAAATTTTATTTAAATTCTCAGTTTCCAACCTGCGGGGGAACAGCACAC